AAAATATACATTCTAATGTGGCATGGGGAAATATATAATGAAAATAAATTTGATATTTGTTATCTGTAAAAATACAATTTCTATGTGGTGTACTAATAGTATCTTTAGTATACCACAGTACAGACTAATTTTATTTGTACATACAGCTAAAAATCCATATATAAAATCTAGCAGCTCTAACTCTATAAAATGTTGGCTAACTCTAATTCTGCATTCAGACCTAGAGGGATGAGTGTTTTCAGGCTATATATCCAGAACATCTCCCTATACGTTAGGGCTTTGCTCAGTTCCCCTCCTCTCCACGGTACTTGTACTTTTTGAATCCCACAATATTTTAAGAGTGTCGGATCACTGTTGTGGTGTATTTTAAAATGACTGGATAGGGAATGTTTTTCAAAGCCTCTTTTGATATTATATACGTGCTCCCTGAGTCTGACTTTTAATGTCCTCTTGGTTTGACCCACATATTGGAGGTCACACGACAGGACGACATATATCTACAAACTAATGGTACTGCTATGGGGACCAGGTTCGCTCCCAGTTATGTCAATATTTTTATGGCTTATTGGGAAAATCTGTCTATTTGGCAAGGCCACAAGTGGGGGGCGAACCTGGTCTTCTATAGACGGTACATCGATGACTATTTTTTTGTGTGGAGAGGAAAAGAAATAGACCTCTTGGAATTTTTAGCTTACATAAACCAGAATGATTATAATCTATCCTTCACGTACAAATATAGCTCTACCAACATAGATTTTTTAGATTTGGTCCTATATACGGACCAAAAAATCTTAAAATCTAAAACCTTTTTTAAAAGTGTGGATGTAAATAGCTACATATGGACTTCCAGTTGCCATTATCCTTCGTGGCTATCAGGTGTCCCGTTTAGTCAATTCCTAAGAGTTAAAAAGAATTGCACAGACCCTGAGATATGTGATGTACAACTCCAGAAGGTAAAACAGCAGTTCACAGAAAAAAGCTACGATGAAGAACTACTAGATACAGCTCTCCAAAGAGTAAAAACTGTAGAACGCACAACACTTTTGAACAAAATTAAACCTAATAAGGGCATTGGAGACATATGTCCTTTGGTTTTTAACTATAGTGCGCAAGCAAATGGTCTAAAGAGGAGTGTACAGAAACACTGGCATTTATTGCGTCAAGACCCGATATTGGCTTCACTCTTACCCACACAACCAAAGGTGATATTTAGGGGAGCACCTACTCTACGAGACAAATTGGTGCATAGTTATATTAAACCAATGAAGGGCAACCACTTTTTAACTGGAAAGAAGGGATACTATAAGTGGGGAAACTGCAATATATGTAAATTAAGCTCTAAAGGAAAAAACTGCACAACTTTTCAGTCTTCAGTTACAAAGGAAACATTTGATATTAAAGACTGTATCACGTGCAATACAAAGCAAGTTATCTACATGTTGGAGTGCCCGTGTGGCCTCCAATATGTAGGTCAAACCAAGAGGACATTAAAAGTCAGACTCAGGGAGCACGTATATAATATCAAAAGAGGCTTTGAAAAACATTCCCTATCCAGTCATTTTAAAATACACCACAACAGTGATCCGACACTCTTAAAATATTGTGGGATTCAAAAAGTACAAGTACCGTGGAGAGGAGGGGAACTGAGCAAAGCCCTAACGTATAGGGAGATGTTCTGGATATATAGCCTGAAAACACTCATCCCTCTAGGTCTGAATGCAGAATTAGAGTTAGCCAACATTTTATAGAGTTAGAGCTGCTAGATTTTATATATGGATTTTTAGCTGTATGTACAAATAAAATTAGTCTGTACTGTGGTATACTAAAAATACTATTAGTACACCACATAGAAATTGTATTTTTACAGATAACAAATATCAAATTTATTTTCATTATATATTTCCCCATGCCACATTAGAATGTATATTTTTACCTTTTCATTAGAGTCATTATTTGTTACATTAGTTGGGAATTTGGACATAGTGATGTACCGAACGGTTCGCTGGCGAACGGTTCCTGGCGAACATAGCATGTTCGCGTTCGCCACGGCGGGCGAACATATGCGCGGTTCGACCCGCCCCCTATTCGTCATCATTGAGTAAACTTTGACCCTGTACCTCACAGTCAGCAGACACATTCCAGCCAATTAGCAGCACAGCCTCCCTAGCAGACCCTCCCACCTACTGGACAGCATCCATTTTAGATTCATTCTCAAGCTGCATGCTTAGTAAGAGGAGGGAAAGTGTAGCTGCTGTTCATAAGATAGGGAAAAGCATAGCTAGGTTAGGGATAAGGGTATGCTTTTTTTTTATTTTTTTTTTCTATGTAATGTAAATATTTGGGTGTCTGCCACTGCTGCCAGCTTCTGTGTCAGGCTCACAGTGCCCATTTCCCCAGTCAGTGCCACCAATTACATCTGGTGTCACAATAGCTTGGATTTAAAAACAAAAAACTTTTTTCACTGTTATAGATTGAATAGCAGTCAGTTGTCTGCCACTGCTGCCAGCTTCTGTGTCAGGCTCACAGTGCATACTGTGCCCATTTC